AAAAAAATGGTGCCAGGTACCACAACAGCAACAGAACTTTGCTGTTTTCTGGATATTATTCTTTTCTTTGTCTTTTTTTTGTGTGTGTTTTTTTAATGTGCTGAATGTCTATAACTTTCTTCAGATGACTGCAGAACCTGGAAAAGCTGTTGCTGCTATCAATGCATAACATACTGCTATTATTAGTCTTTTTATATAAATAAATATATATATATATATATTGAATTAATGGTGCTGTCAACTTTGGAAAAAGTTATCCCAATTTACTGTGTTGAGTTGGTATTGTACAGAAATGGACAGCCATATTGGTCTAGAAATGTTAATTTTTTATTTTTTTTTATTTTTATTTTTCCATTTGTACAGGGGTAACACATTGTACTAAATATGTAAGGTCACATCTACGTGGGTTTGATTACAGAAACTAATAAAGTATTCTCTAAATAATGAAAAAATTTACATCATTGCCTTTTCTCTTTTACTTTCCTTTTTAGTTTTATTTTAGGATTCCCTATTTTTAATGTTCATACAGAGATTTCTTTAACTGAAATACCAAATTGTTTCTCTGGTGTGAAAAACTATAATAGTACACAGGATCCTAATGAGATAATTAATAATGTGAAATAGGAAGTAAAGAGCTAAAGGTGTAGGGAAAGTGGGAAGGGTGGGGGAAAGGTAATAAGGGAGAGGAAAAAATATGAAAAACTGAAAAAAATGGAAATAGTGTTTGTAAATGGGGAGGGGAGGAGGGGGTGAAGGGAGGGCAGGGACAAGGGGAAAAAATAAGAATCAAGACCTATTATGTAAAGGTACAGGATCCCAATGATGAATGTAACTGTATTGTATCCCTAGATTGTACCAATAGACTCAATAAAAAGAAAAAAAAAGAAAAAAAATTTTAAAAATTGACTTTATTGGTACATTTTAGGGATACAGTACAGTTACATTCATCATTGGGATCTTGTAACGCTACATGACAAGTCTTGGTTCTCATTTTTTCCCCTTGTCCCTGCTCTCCCTTCACCCCCTCCTCCCCTCCCCATCTACAAACACTTTATTTCCTTCTTTTCACTATCTCACATATTTTTCTTTTCCCTTATTACCCTTCCCCTACCCATCCCACCTTCCCTACACCTTTAGAGTTCATAACCTTCATGTGGGTGCTGAGTCCTGGGAACAAGTCTTAAGCACCCTGGTTGCATTTCTAGTGCAGCTAGATATGTAATGTCACCTTTGAGTACAAGGCCTTCTAGGCCTGGTCCAGCTGCCTCTAGTCTTCAAGGTGAAGGTCCTGGTCATGCCTTACCCTGCTGGCTCCAACACTGCTGCCATAGAACAAGACAAAAGGTCAGTGATGCGTCATACCCATCTGCACCTTGGCCTACACCACAGAAAATGCACACTGCAGCTGACTGCATGGCTACAAGTCCTAGAGATTTAGTTCCACTTATTAATTTCTGGGAGCCTCAAACTCATCATCCTTCTACCTCAGCTTCTGGAGGTGGCTGAGATTGTAGGCATGAGGCCCTGTGCCCAGCTCATTTCTGGGAAATTAACCCTTGGTTATGGTAGAAGAAAGTTCATGTGGGTGGAAGGATGGGAGAAAAACTTGGTGTGTAAACTTGTGTGTGGAAGATGCGTACAACGAATTTATAGTTGTTCTCGGTGTGGGGCAAGTCCTACTTGAGGTTTTACCTGCTGACTTATTAGAAATGGTAATCAGGTATTGGGAATTAAAATAAGTCCCATAAAAATACAGAATATGGAGAAGATATGGACATCAAGATCGTTTTTTTCATTGCTGATGGTTCTGTAATTAGTAAAGCCCCTTTGAAAAAGTTTGCCTCCATTCCACATGTGCCAGAAACTATGAAGATGTCTTCTCTACCAAATGTGGCATTACCCAGCAGCCTGAATTTTTCTGCTTCTCAGCTACCTCAAGGGAATCAGGGAAGCATCACAATTTATGCGGCAGAACTTCAAAGACTGAAAACCCAGCAGCACCAACCTCCCTGGAACTGGTGAGGAGCGGAACCATTCAGGCGGAGGGTGGTGACAGGGGTTTCAGCGGGACCCTGATCCACTGCCTCAGCTGCCCAAGCGAAGAGAGGATCTTGGTGGTCACTGGCTTATCTTTGCCCTTCTGGATTCTGTTTGGAATATTCTTCTCTAAGAATATGACCACCTCAAGGCAGAGGCCTAAAGCTACTGGTATTGCAGGTTAACTTTCAGAAAATACTTGAGCTTTGTTTTATTTTTTTGCTTTCTGTGCAGGCCAGAAACTTCACTGATAATATTAAAGTGGAGTGGTAGCAGATGGCCTTTCCCATTTTCCTGATTTAAAACAATTCTAATATTTCATAGTGAAGAACATGTATAACAGATTTTTTTTATTGGTATCACCTGCTTAATCATTCCCACAGTGTATGAAATGAAATGGAAGACCTTGCAGACTTTTCTCATCCAAAGTAGTTGGAGCAAGTCAGTGCAATCAGAATACAAGAAAGAGAGCTCAGCTGTTATTTTTCAGAATCTCCCCCAAAATGTGATTACAATGATAGGCAGCTATGCATGAGCTAATCTGAATAGGTTCTGGACTGTCTTGCCTGGCACAGGTGCCCTCATACATCTCAGGATGCTATGCATTTGATGGCAAAGTTCTTTCTGGCAGCGATTCTCAAAGTGCAGTCCCCAGGCTTAGCTGTTTTAATTGTTAAGGAAAGAAAGAATTGTTAATCAAGAAAGGCGGATTACCAAATACCTGCATAATGATCATGATAATATGAGCGATTACAAAATGTGTGGCTTTGCTTCCTGAAAATCTCTATTGCCCTTAATGAATTTATCTTTCAGAGTGTAGTTTTAAAATGATAAATAGTAGCTTGTAGAATGATAAGTAATTTAGTCATTCAAACCGTTAGCAGCAATGCTTGAAAGTAACCCGAATATCTCATCCGGAAGTTGGTACAAACCAGGTCACATCAGTAGTGATACCCAGAGTCCACTCTCTGGGAGTTCTCAGAGGGCTTCTCACAAGGACTTCTCTGTCAGCCTAGGCTATTGCAGGCGACTTAACCACTGTGATTATAAACTGTCACCTGCAATATTCGGT